AGGACCACACATGATTCTTCAATTAACAACGAGCAGGCTGGCAGCTCCCACCCCATGCACACACACGTGCATGGCTCTTCCCTCTCAAGTTCATACACTTTTCTATCAGGCTTCTAAGGTCATTTGATGCGGCTACTCTGGATATAGGGACAACTGCCAGAGCTTGGGCATCCTATCTAGGGTCACAACTCTGAAGAGAATGAACTCCCTCCCCGAGTGGTCATCAGTTGTTCCTCATCATAGTTCCTCAGCTAGGGGTGGGAACTGTAAGCCCCTCCTCCATCAGCGCCAGGAGTGTGTTTGGTTTGATCTTACGCAGGGCTTGTGCATGGGGTCACAGGCAGCCACCAGAAGCTTGTATGATCTGTTGTGTCCAGAAAATATCATGTTGTAGCAACCCTCCACTGCCACTGGCTCTTACAGTCCTCCGGCCCTTCATTCCATGATGATCCCTGAGCCTTGGGGAGAAAGAAAGTGGGAAACGGGTGTTTCATTTAGCACCACACAGTCTCTCGTTCCCTGAGCCTTGACCTGAGTCTGTATTAATCACCATCTATTGCAAAAGGAAGCCTGTAAGCTGAGAATCGCCTCAATCTATGGCTGCAAAGGAAGAGGAACATTTGGACTAAAGGTGCAGTTTCTAAAAAGGCATAGCGCCAAGGAGCAAATCTGCCTCCCATGTGGGAAGGTTTGAAAAGAATGGTTCTTCATCTTCATCCTCAATTGAATTGGCATTAGCGTCGCCAAGGTGATTCACCACTAGACATGTCTGTGTCCATGGAGGTTTGACTGAGGTGAACGTGGGTAGCACCGTCCTATAGGCTGAGATTCAAGACTGAATTACAAGGGAAGCGAGAAAGCCAGCTGAGAGTTGTTATAGCTCATTCCTCCTGTATCCTGGTCTGCCCAGATGTGAGGTGGCCCAGCTGTGTGCTCCCGAGGCCACAAGTGATATCCACTCCTCCCCCTACCCCATCCCCCCACTGCCACAATGGGCCGTGCACCCACAACCATGAGCTGCAGTCAACACTTCTCCCTCTGAGATTCACAGACGCAACATCCCTCTAGTTAGACATCCTAGAGACAGAGAAGCTTATTCTAGCAGACAGGAAATTGAGCTCACTGCTGGCCACTGCTGTCAGATAACATGAATAACTAATAACCATGCCATCTCACAATTTTTAAAATACCGCAGACAGTTCATCGATATGTTTCAAAGGCTTGCCAGTTTGTTAGCATCATCTTTGCGCTGACTTACGATAGCACAACTGGTCAGACCTGGGAAATATCACTATATGTTTTATTTCAGAGCCTGTGGTCTTCCTGTCCTAATGTCACGTGTTCAGAACCACAATACAGAACTGGGGATCTCTTTCCCAGTTGCTTAACAAACGTTTCTTGGGCCTTACCCCTTAGTAACCCAACCCAACTCACTGCTTGTGAATCTATATTTTTATTTATTTTATTCTCAGGAAGTTCCCTGGAACTGAAGTTACCAATGGCTGTGAGACACTCTGTGGGTTTTGGAATTGAACCTGGGTCCCCTGCAAGAGCAGCCCACGCTCTTAGTGGTTGAGCCAATGTCTCTGGACGCAAATCTACTTTTTAAAATCCCTGGATTCTGCTGTATGGTCATGCTTAGGAGCCCCTGCTTTATGAAATGAAAGGCCAATACAACAGTTCGGGTTTTTTTTTTTTTTAACCAGTATAACTTTGAGGTTTAGTTTATAAAGATTGTAATCGATGTGTTTTAGACCAATGGATCTGAAGATCTTTTAAAGATCTACTTATTTTTATTTTATGTGTATCATTGTTTGCCTGCATATATGTATGGGCACAGTATGAACCTAGTATCTGTGAAGGCCAGAAGAGGACATAGGATCTTCTGGGGCTGAAGTTACAGATGGTTTTGAGCCAATATGTAGGTGCTGAGACTTGAACTCGGGTCCTCTGCAAGAGTAGCAAGTACTTTTAACCTCTGAGCCATGTCTCCAGCTCCCACTTCCTAACCTTTTAAAGTCTACCTTACCTATTAAGAATTTGTTTAAGGGCTGGAGAGATGGCTTAGTGGTTAAGAGCACTGACTGCTCTTCCAGAGGTCCTGAGTTCAAATCCCAGCAACCACATGGTGGCTCACAACCATCTGTAATGAGATCTGATGCCCTCTTCTGGTGTGTCTGAAGACAGCTACAGTGTATTCATATATAATAAATAAATAAATCTTTAAAAAAAAAAAAAAGAATTTGTTTAAAATCTATAGGTCTTTCACTAAGGAACACACACACACACACACACACACTTGCATAGAACTTAAGGTACTGTACTAGTTAGCATTAACGTCAGTTTTATACAGTATAAAATCACCTGGGGGGAAAAAACCCTCAATTGAGTTGAGGGTTTAGTTGTCTTTATCAGATTCGTCTGTGGGCATGACTGTGGGGTGGTTGTTAGTTGGTGTATGAGGGCTCAGACTGTGAGTGGCACCAGCTCCTTAACGGGTGACCTATGCTATATGTAAAGCGACCTGAGCATAGGAAAAAGCAAGCCAGTGAGGAAAGCCCATAAGCATTTCTCCCTCAGCTACTGGCATGGCCTCTCTTCAGTGAGACAGACCTGTAAACTGGGATCCACCCTTTCTGGCCCCAAGTTGCTTTGGATCAGACTGTTTCAGTACAGTCCAGGAAGGACATTAAGACTAAGGTGGTTATAGCACTTACACTGGGGAGTTTTGCATCAACATGGCACAAACTAAAGTCATTTGAGAGGGGGGAGCCTCGCTTGAGAAAATGCTTCACTCCACAAGATCTTAATTGGTGATTGATGAGGGGGGATGTAGGAGGAGCTAAGGTGGGAGGAGTAAGGAGAGGAAGAAGAGGAGGAAGAGGAGGAAGAGGAGGAGCTAGAGAGAGCAGAGGTATAGGAGAATGAAGGGCCACGCAGGTATGGAAAGCAGTCCTGGGTAACAACTTATCTAGGTTAGTTAATTGGGAAACATTTATAATTATGTGGGCATATTGTTATTGAGCATTACCAAATATGTAAAGCCTTTGATTAATATTTAAACATTAGAGTCTCACTTCCTACCGGGCCCACGTGGATGGCGATACGGTCTGGGCTCAGCCCAGCTTTGTGGAGACAGTGTGGAAGATTGGCAGAGCCATCTCCCATGCTGGCGTCTCACGGGTAGCAGGGCTGGTGTCTCTGGTTGCCTGAGCAGACGGAATAAAATGAGCGGCTGTGTGATACGCTGCCACAGCTCATGGCCACAGGCCTTGCCTAGTTGGGAACATGGCGGCCCCAATTCACAAGACAGATCGGGTGCTGCTGTTTTGGAATATCTTCCACAACAGGAGGACCCAGCCTATTGTGGGAGGTGCCATTCCTGGCCCTGATGGTCCTGGGTTCTACAAGAAAGCAGGCTGGGCAAGCCATGGGGAGCAAGCCAATAAGCAGCAACCTCCGTGGCCTCTGCACCAGCTCCTGACTCCAGGTCCCTGCCCTGTTTTGAGTTCCTGTCCTGACTTCCTTCAGTGATGAACAGTGATGTGGAAGTATAAGCTGAATAAACCCTTTCCACTGAAACTTGATTTGGTCATGGTGTTTCATCACAGCAATACTGACCCCAAGTAAGACAGCAGTTGTGCGTCAGACCTATACAAAGTACCTGAATGCAGTGGCTTAAGACAGGAACATTTATCATCTAACAATCCTGGAGATCATGGGGGCTTACTGGACCGACACCAAGGCTTCCATCTCTGGCCTGCGTTCCTGGAAGGGGTAGAGGAGAAGACATCTCTCTGTCCTCAGTTTTTGAAGCTGCTCAACTTCATTACCTCATAGACTCTTCCCTCCATCTCCAAAGCTAGCTGTGATCTAGCTTCCTTTGTCACACCTCTTCTGATGACAGCTAGGAGAGGTTCTTTGTCTGTAAAGATCCCCGTGTTCAGACTACTGGGGAGTACATAATTCCGGAACGTGCACTCACCCACCCTCACCTACTCTAGGTTTTTGCACTGTTGTTGTAAGGATAAACCTGATTAGAAAGAAAAAGACAAAAATGTCACGTGTGTTTAGTATGAATGAGACTTTGAAAGTGGAGAGGGTGGGAAGGAGTGGGGAGGAGGTTGTGATTTTACCAGAGTAAAGAGTTAGTTCAATAATAACATTAAACTTGGAATACTCAACTTCATAGAGTCAGAGATAAACAAAGCTTGCCAGGGGCTTGACTGGGCTGCGCGTGCTTGTTAAACTTGTATATAATTTAATTCGCAAGATGAGCTTTTGATGATCACACAACCAAAATGAGGTTAAGATGGAGACTTCATGCATATAAGTATACTTCCCCATAATCTCCCACACGCAGGGGAGCACACCTGGCTGCATTGTGTGTCTGCCAAACTGGAAAGCTCAGGGAGTACGGAAGGATGCTCTGCTCTCTTCCACATGACTAATTCTTACAGCAACTACCCTCTGAAGAAGAGGTTCCAGGTGGGCAGAATATTCACCCATCCTTGGCTCGGGTGGCTTTGGGCCTTTGTGTGAGAGAGAGAGACTCACATTGTAAGACAAAAGGAGAGAGACCCAGCCAACCTGAATCCCGCAGAGCCTAGGACATTGGACTTTTCACCCAGGTCCAGCACCAGGTCCAGGACCGGGTCCAGCACTGGGTCCCACCGATGCTCCTGGGGCCGCGTCCAGCAGGGGGCGCTGCGGGCCCGTCCCGCCCGGGCCGCCCGGGCCGCCCACCCCGCGGGCGCGCCTCTCCGCAGTCCAGTGCCGCCGGGGCCCGAGACCCGCTCCTTCCGAGAGCGCAGACCTCTCGGCGGGGATCGAGAGGACTCGGTGAGCTGACGGCCGCCCCAGGCCTCGCTCCGGCTCGCGCTGCAGCCCATCGCGGCGTCCCAGGCTCAGACTCCGAGTGCAGGGCTCGCGCCCCAGGCAGCGGCGTGTCCCGGGAGCCCCGATCGCGGGCCAGGGAGCAGGGCGGCGGCCGGCTGGGGATGGGCGGCCCGGCTGCGGCGCGGACCGGCGCCGGGGGGCTCCGCACGCTGTTGCTGGCGCTGGTGGCCGCGGGGGTCCCGGCCGGCGCCTACAACCTCGACGCGCAGCGCCCGGTGCACTTCCAGGGCCCCGCGGGCTCCTTCTTCGGCTACGCGGTGCTGGAGCACTTCCACGACAACACGCGCTGGTAAGTGTCCCCTGCGGATCCTCGACCCCGGCGCGGCCACCCCGTGGTCCCCTAAGTTGGCCGCCGCCTTTCCGGCCTCTTCCACGCCGCCTCCCGCGGGGCCGATTTAAATGTCCGGCGGCCACGCTGACATCCTGGCCTGCTCTCCGTGGTCCGGGAGGTCCATGGGGTCCCTGCCCTCCATGGGCAGTTAGGCGCAGTTTTGCTCTCGCCACAGCAAAGTTAGCTGGCTGTCTGCCCTCGAGGGGCCACCGCTGGCTAGCCAACTGCCCCAGATCCCCGGAGGGCCCCTAGGAGGCCAGGCTGCTCATGGGGACCACTTCACGTAACTCTAGGACAGCAGCATGCAAGAAGCAGAGAAACAGGGGATGTGGTGGAAGTGGGTCCTGGGGGGCGTAGGGATCTCTAAGAGAGGTACCCAGGGGCCCCACAAAGTTCAGGGAGGATCCCCCAAGGAACAGACTGGCTGGTGGGCAGCATGGAGCTCTTCTCCCACGTGCCAGTCTAGAGACAAACTTAAAAGGATGAAGTTTTTGGTTCAAGAGATACAGTTGTTAACTAGCGAGATGGGTGGGCCTGCAGAAAAGAATAAGTCTCTCCCTCATTAAGCATCAATGGTGAAGTTAACTGACCCCACAGCAGGAGCGTTTAGAGAAGGTGGGTAGACCACTTCCTCGGAAAGAAGCAGCCGCACCATGCACCACGCCCACCTTTTCATAGCAGCTAGAGTTCAGTTGTCAGTAACTCTTCAGCCTCATTTTAGATGGTGTTACTGTGGGCCCAGAAGATGGCTAGTTCGAGTTGAGGGTTGTTATCCAGTGAGCGAGCATCCTTAGAGGCAGCGAGCTGGGTGAGGAAGACCGGCAATGTGTGTGTTTTGTAATATACTGGGAGTCTCTGCTCAGAATTGGACAGGGGCTGAGGCAATCGGGAGTTTGTAGATGCGGGTCTTTTAGAACCCCGGGGAAAGAACTTTGTGACTGGCTTTGTTAACGCTTTCGTGTGTTTAGGAGAGCAGCCTCCAAGAGAACCAGTTTTCAAAGTCCTTGAGCGTTGCTTTCATCTACATCCCTTCCTGACATTGATTCTAGTCCCCGAGTTACCAGCCAAGGCTGCTTCCTGCGTTTGCCAAACCCTTCCTTTTCAGACAGCAGGGCAGAACACTTTCCTAGGTTCTGTAGACTCCAGATCCACTATGGGCTTTGGGCTTGGTACAGCTTATGGCTGGCTAGAAACAGTTTGTAGAATACATCCCAGAACCCCGCGTAGTGTGGCCTCGGCAGTAAGCGTATGGGAGGAGCTGTCAGAAACAGAAGGGCTGTTCAGGTGGGTGGCTACCTGGAAAGGGCAGGCAGCTGTGCCAGCCAAAGGTTCAGTTCCTGCAAGCTGTGCCTAGCCTGTGTGCCCTGCAACAATCTGGTTCCAGGGCAGGAGCCAGGCTTCTGTCACCTGGATTTGGATAGACCCCAGGTCACGGCCTCTCTGGCTGGTAACCAGATAGGAGCAGACCCAGTCGAGACAAGGTGTTCAGCTTGCTTTCTTTTTGAAAGACGTTGTGAATAGATTTTTCAGAGAAAGAGGGTTTGGCCTGATGCTCGGGCACCCAGGCTGCATTGTAGTGGTGGCCATGCTGGGGCTTGACCTTGTCAGGAGAGGGTCAGGCATTTCTGTGGGAATAAGCAGCTGGCCTGCTGATCTCAGAAGAGCCTCTCCTGCCCAACCACTCCCTGCACTGGAGTGCTGCTGGATCCTCAGTTTTTTAGCAGCCCTCTGAAATTTAATATATATTTAATTATATTTATTACATATATAATAAAACATAAATATATTACATATAATATATTATAATATATATATGAATATATATATATATATGATAAAATATATCTCTTTGAAGCAGATTGCTTTCTCATTACAGTGCCATAGTCTCTTTCTTGAATTCTCTTGCTGCTTAAAAACCTGTCTTCCACTCTTTCTTCCTTCATTTCCCCAACATTTTCTTCTTGGCTCTGAAATACAGCCTTTTCTGATGCGACCCGCAGTCAGGGGCTTGTAAACTTTGAAGCAGGAGAAACTTCCATTTCTTCTTTCCTTCTTTTCTCTAGAGCGAGGCCTGTGTGAGGTCAGTGGGAGGTCAGTGGAGCCCCAGACAAAGGCTTTTCACCTACACAAGCCCCTTCTGCGTTCCTGGGTTTACTTTTATTCCTATACATTGAGAATAGTCTTAGAGGTAGCCACTGGTCTAGTTGTGTGAACTATACATCTACCCTAAATCTTCGCCTTTACATACAACCCTGGGGTTGGTTGATTGACTTAATGGCTGAATGAAAGCCTCTTAGTATTAGGTAGTCCCTGAGCCCATTGTCCTCTAAACTTACCGGGTCATTTCCAGTTGTTTATAATTGTAACAACATATGTAAGCATTCTTACAGTGAAACACTGTGGACGTTCTTAATTATTTCCTTCCAATCAATTCTTGGACTCAGAATTTCTCTGTCAGCTAGGATGACAGTTTTACAGTATTCTGTATTGTATTACAAAGGTTCCCGTGAAATGGGAAACAGGGGGTTTGGGTCTTGGAGTTTGGTAGCTGCTTACCCAAAGGCTGGGGTGGTGCAGTGGGAGAGCAGAGAAAACTTCATGGAGTAACTTAGAAAGTTCACAGTCTGAAGGTGGGGAGGGGAAGGGGTTTCTACAGGAGAAACTGATTGAAACCTGGGTAGGAAGGGATGACTAATGCTAAGGAAACATTGTATCTCTGTTCCTCTTCCAGAAAAGACGGTCTTTAGATTATCAGTTGTGATGTGATATGGGACCTTTGTTTCATGCTAATTGGCTCCCGGTTGTGTTGTGCACAGGGCAGTGAATGTGCTAGAAAGGACAAGGAGAACCCAGACACCAGGTGGCAGAGCTGAGGGGTCCAGGTTGCAGGTTTCTGTTACTGTAACAAACACCCCTAGTAAACTTACAAAGAGAAGTTCCTGTTGGCTCACAGTGCAGAGTCTGACTGGAGTCTGTGGTTGTTGGCTCTAATGCTTTTTACCTCTGTCAGGGTTGGGGGTACACCATGGTGGAAGTTTGTGAAGGGAAAAAATAGAGAAAGAGGCAGGGACTGGGCTGTCCTTTTTAAAAGTAAGACTTCCCACAGGCCTAACCCCATAAAGGTTACCACCACCCAGCAGCAACAAGCTGGGCCTGAGCCTGATCTAAAGAGTGTTTTACAAGACCCACTGGTGAGTGTGTGTCGCAGAGCGCATGAAGTGTCTGCAGTGAAGCTGTCAGCTCTTGGGTCTGTAATCAAGTTCTTTATGAACACATTGTTACTTCTCGAGGGAGCTCGATGCCTGCATGAAAACAGGGGTGACCTTGTCTCTCAGAACCCCTGTGTTGAGTCTGGCTCCTGAAACCATATTCCTACTCATGACACAACCAGCTTTGTTCAAAGTTCTTCCTGAACAGACCCTTGTTACCATGCCTTGGACAGCAAGAATTGTCCCCGTGGATAAACCGTCATAACCTGATGACATCGGTATCAGTTTTGATGCAGACATGAAAGTGACGGAGCTTTTCTTCTTTTTCTAATGACACCCAGGGAGTATCTGCACACTCAGAACTATCTTGTCCCCACCCTCCCCAACCCTGATTCTTCTGGCATCCTGTGAACAACAGAAGTAGATGCCAGGGAACAGAGACAAAGCCAATTTCTGTCCTCTTCTCTAGCACTTTCTCAGCTGCAGAACAGACAACTGTAACACTCAGAGATATGAATAATTGGAGTCTGGCTGCCCCTGCAGCCCCCCCCCCCGCCATGCTCTAGAGTCCAAAGTGGTTGGGTGCGCTGGCTTCCTCTCCGGCAACGTGCTTCCTCCTTCTCCTGGGACAGCGAGACTGCTGTGCTCAGGCACTGAGCGAGCTCTCGGAAGTGGCAGGCTGGCAGAGCATCATTGAGTGAGCGATCCGAGCAGTTCCAACATTCCGTTTGCATTTAGAGCTGAGAATCCAAAGTTACAATGTGCTGCCAGGTGACGTTGACACCTGCCAGAGTATTGTGATTTACATAAAAATGGACTAAAACTAGGCAAAATTAAGAATTCAGTCTCACAGTCACGTATGAGTAGTTACATGGCTATGTCCGGGACAGCCCGAATAGGGAAATGTTTATCAGGCCCAGAACACTCTACTGACCAAAGTCTTAAAGAGCTTAAAGACTTGAAGGAAACTTAAAAGCAACAACAAAAAGGTCAGTCCTTGGCATATTTAACTACTAAAACCTCAGCAAGATGTGTATATCAGAAACCTGTGGCGCATGGAAGGGGGCAAGCTGTCTTTTCATCTGTAAAATTTTGAAGTTCCTGTTGTGTACCGAGAGCTAACGGAACCGTCACCCACTGCTTTCTGGGGTTCTCACCTGTGCCTCAGGCAAAATATCAGCTGTATCATAGGCTCCGGCTGAGGGAAGGTATGCATGGGGTGTTTATTTTGAGGGAAGAGGGAGATTCCTGAGAAGATGAAAGATTTAAAAGAGGGTCTTGAAATTTGGGGCTCTGCTCCCCAGCTCCATCTGGCTTTGTCAATCTCTGTGAGGAAACACCGGAACTGGTAGTTAGTTCTGCCGTCTTGTAAGCTCTCTGACCAACGTTGGGGCATTGCACATGCTCAGTGAGCTTAGAGTCTACTCAGCGCTGAGCTTGCAGGAGAAGGCATGCAAGCTTCAGAGAAGGCTTGCAGGAAGGCATGACTTCCTTAGAGGCTCTTCTGGGCACTTGTGCTCAAACCAGGCCTCCCTTGTCCCACTTTCTCAGCCTCCTGTGAGGCAGAGCTGAAAGCACACGCAAGGGATCCATGCTCAAAGGGGACCCAGGAAGAATCTTCAAAAGGATTTCCCTGAAGATCCTGAGGAACAGACAAGGGTGCTGTTTCCCCAGCTGGTGCTGAATCACCTTATTACTCAAGGGAGAACCTGCCAGGGCCAGAAGACAGACTCTGTCATCTTGGCCAGT